TAATTAATTTCAAAGAAAGTCTTCTTTGCAGGACGATTACGAGAGTTATTGCAAGCAAATTCAGCTTAAGGGATGACAAATTCCCATTTTCTAGGATGATCATTGACTAGGCTTCGTCATATGCTACCTAGAGATTGATTCACACTTTGATCTACCCATCTATTTGAGGATGGGAAACACTAGATCTAGTGTCCATGGCCAAATTTGATCGTTGGAAGCTTTGGATTTGACACTTCCCAACTAGATCCCTAGGCCAGATCTAGCACTCCAAGGCCATATCTAATTGCGGGAACTATCGATCTAATGCCTTATTGGCCAAATCTGGCCACAAGAAACAGTAGATCAATGTTTCATTACACCGACCACATCTAGTGACCTACCAATGAAAAAGAAAGGAACATGGAAAAATGAATTTAAAATAGAATTATAAAAAAATTAATATGTTAAATTTAAAAATTAATTTAAAATTATTAATTGTTTAATATTTTAATAATAAAAAAGTTTGAATTATCAATAAAATATTAATATTTAAATTATAAATAAATTATAAATATTTTAATCATAATAATGTTTAAATTATAAATAAATAACAATTAAATAAAAAAATCCTATTTATGTTTAAATCATACATTGTCAATATTTTAAAAAAATAAAACAAAATTAACATGAATTACCATATTAAAGTTTTTAATAGAAATTTCTTATTTTTTTATAAATTACCAAAAATAAATATTTTATTAAAAATGAAATATTACAATAAACATTTTCTTTTTTGTGTTTTTATCGCCTATCCTTTGTTATTTCAAAACTATTTTTATCGATTATACATTGGAATGAGTCATGATAAAAATTCATGTCTTATTCCATTCACGAACCAAATTATATAATGACTATTCTATTTTATTCATATTTTATTTTATTTTTTCACATAATAATTATTCTGTTTTCCCTTTATTTCATTTGGTGAATCAAATGTGGTGTAAAAACTTTCAAGACGGCAAACGATATATATATACACATAAGCACAAGCTTATTTACTTCAAAATTATTAGTCAAAACCCCAAAATTTTAGTTAAGCAGAGGAATATTTTTGCACTAGCATATAAGTGGAAGATTAACCATGATCAGCTTAATTAATTAATACTGGTTACTATAAGGTATAACATTTTTTTGTATTTGGCCAGAAATAGATGCTACTGGGGAGCCAGAGATCGTCAAATATAATATTAACTACAAAATTTGTTGTCACATAAGACATGGATACTTCATGAAAACACACAAATCATTAAAACGTAAAATGACTAATTGAAAGGTTTCATGTAACCTGTGTATAGTTATCTGTTGTTTGCGCAATTCAGAATCCTGTAAACCCTATCATCCTACGTTCTCCGAAAATATTAAATAAAAGATTATTAGGAAAGAATAATCTTGGTAAGGAAACTAATTAAATAATTATGATTTCAGAAAAAGGAACCTAAGAAAAGGGGGAAGACAAGTAGACAGAGCATGGAGATGCAGGCTTTTGTAATAAAATTCATAGACAGAAGTTACAGGCTGCAAAACCACAGAGCACCTCTAACTGGGTTCATATCGCAGAAGGAATGCAGAAATCATAACTTGTTTAGAAAAGGAAAATTTTGTTGAGCATATCAAGGACTCAGGATAAATCTATTGCCGAAGGAATGAAAAATCAACCAAAAGAATCCATAAAATAAAAAAATGCAGAGAGATAGACTCAAGATCAAGAGATATATACTGACCAAACCAGCCTCAACTTTCACTAAAAATGCATGCGGAAACCTTCTTGGAGATCAAGAGAGATAGTGCAGCGACCTTGACAGATGTGCATATATAGGTAAGCAGGGAAGGAAAGGAACCCTGATAAGAATAGAGATTCCTGGAATCCTGGCCCAGAGAGATGGTGCCTATTTCAAAAACATTGCCTCGACTATTCAAAGTCCTGACATAAAATGAAATATACACCATCTCCCTTGCGACAGGATTCCAATGCAACTCTGAATTTCTAATTAGCTTGGGCCGCACTCTGCTAATCTTATAAATGGACAAATTGGTGCACACGTGTATGTGAAAGAAAGACTTGATTACTTTCCGTCGGGTAAACGTCCTTTTATTCAACTTTCAGTAAACAAGTTTGAAACGTTCTTCAGTCCATATAACACGACTAGAGAAGTTAGGCCTGTAGGGACCTTGAAAATAATGCTTCCGTTAGACTCGATTAAAGGACTATAACACGACTGAATCTGGGGTTGTTCCCATGATAAGGTCAAAGAACCTATTAAACTTGTTATAGATTTTTGAACAGCCGTTTTCTGAATTGAGACAGGTCATGATGCGGTCATGGTGTGGGAGAAACCAGCTGCATCGTAACTTGGATTTGATTTCAAGAAGGCATAATATTTAAAAAAAAATTAAATAAATTTTTATATTTTTATTATATTTTATTAAGTTTTTAAATTTTTATTTTAAATTAAATAAATTTTTATATTTTTATTTTGAATCAAATAAGTCTTTATTACTAATAATTAAATTAGTCAAAATACTATTTGCTATTCTATGCCACATGTTACTGACGTAACATGTTAACATGTCATAATTGATGATAACACTAATATATCATAATTGATGATGAAGTGATATGCTATTATAACATGATAATATGACCATATGATATTTTTCACTCTCTACATCAACATTATATTAATGTCATGTCGATATAAAATAACAAGTAGTATTTTGATTAATAATAATTAATCAAACCACTTACTTGACTTAAAATAAAAATATAAAAATTTAATTGAACGTAATAAAAGAATAAAGATTTATTTAAATTTTTTTAAATAATTTAAGAGCTTCTTTCAATATTATGCCTTTCAAGAAATTTATTGACAAGTCTTAACTGATTGAATCAATGAATGAGAATCAAGTAATGAAACCCAAAGTTTTCTAGTATCACATTTGCTTAAGTTCTTCGTTCCTGTATCCTATACATCTAGCATCCCCAATTAGCATTTTTAGGAAGCAGCTCAAAATCAAGTTATATGTTACCTTCATCAGATTGGAAATATTCAAGTTCAAATCCGATCCTCCCTCCCCATACTTAGTTAAAATGTAATCAAAATGGAAAATTTAATCATAAAAAAGAATTAGCAATATTCGATTATACAGAACTTTGATATATGAAAGAAAGCAGGTTTAAAAATTTTAAATTAAGAAATTCATTTTGATCTATCATAACGTTACCTATTGTGTTAAGATGTTTAATAATTATTTTTCCATTATATAAATGAATATGTTAGAGACACACATACATATATTGGGTATTAATTATAAAGAGTCATTAAGTGGGGAGTATGTGAATCTTAATCATTTTTTCCCTTAGCAAACAACTTAGGCTCTGTCTTTTAAACTATATATTAAGGGAGTTGAGATTTAAAGTTTGAAATTTGTCTCCTAAGCTCTTTCCAAATGCAACAAATAATAAAAAAATTATTCCTCTTAGAAAAACATTCTTGACAAAGTACTCATTAATTCTCTAGTGTTTTGGTAGTTTACCATACTTTCAGTCTTCACTATTGCTTTCCTTTAGGCTCACTAATGTCGAAGTGAACAGTAATTTTTCATACTTTATGATCTAATAATGTTAAAATACCTTGAATTCAGCTGTCGGTAAGCAAAGTCAACGGTTCAAAGCTTTTCTGTCTCTATTATCCTAATTATATTTCTACGTTCATGTTCATTTGTGGTCTGCCCTATACTTACCTATAATTGTATCCATCATATCACTATGATATAGTTGCTAGCTAGAGATAATCTAATCAACCAACACAGGTTGCATCAGTATGTTGACAAACGTAAACAAAAATGATATTGTTATTGTGTGTTATCACAAGATCTACAGCTCTCATCTACAAGACATGTGCCACAGAGAATGGAAGTCAAAGCTATTAATAAGTCACTCTATGTTCACACACTTCGAAAAAAGAAAAAAAGCCCATAAACAATCTTCTTAACAGGAGATGAAGAAGCGAAAAATTGTTGCAGGAACCTAGTGAACTAGGCACAGCATGATTATTAAGTTATAACCTTCACAAGCACAGTCAGGAGGAAACAGTTCATACATTTGTTCATATCTCTTTTGTTTGCCAATGTTTAGCATGATAACTACATACAAAAGAGAAACAAATCAGCCTTATCTTAATTTTAAATACAAAACTTTAATGATTCAGCAGATTCAAATTTTCTATTGGTACCACTTTGTCAGCATTGTCGAAGCCAGCAAACCAAGCTTACTAGAAAGAAGATAATTAAAGGGAAGATAAGGTACTATTTGCTTGATGACAATGACGAATCATGACTTAAAGAAGATCAATTATTGAGCCATAGGGAAGTGGACCAGAGAACAAGACATGTTAAGGCATTTGAACCATATGGAAAGCAGATTTAAAAATCAACTTCAACCTTTGGATAAGAGGAAAAAGCAAACAAGTTGGCATTTAAAAACATAAGACTTATAATCTTTATTTTCCGCAGTTCCACGAGCAAGAATAAAAAGGTAGCCAGATATCATTTCTATCCCATTATTGCATCTAAAATTATTGTTTAAGTACTAGATTGTTTTTCTTTTGAACCGTGTCAACAAAAGACCCTCCTGTTACCCACTCACCTTCATAAAACCTTTTTCCTTGGCAAATAATAATTTAATCATTTCTCTCCTAAAGTGGAACAGCCAATTCTTTTATTTTGCCAAGCAATCAGTGTAAAGAATGCATATAATGAGCACGCAGGTTTTTTCTTTTTTGTTATTGTAATATGCACAACTGGCATTGTCTCTGACCAAGAAGCTGACAAATGTAAATATGGAAGAGAAAGATTCACGAATTCCTACCATCTTACAGTAGACAGCATCATTACCTATTTCTCAACCATTGGAAGATATCAAGATGATTAGTCTCGGATAGACACAGATGGAAGAAAGTTGAGGGTATGCCATCATGAAGAGACAAAGCTTGCCGCTTGATTCGGGCTATTGACATTACTGTAAGTGTCAACTCTTTCCAAACACCCTTCTTCTTTCCTCTAGTGTCAGCTCTTTCTCCAACATTTGAGAGAGGAATTCTGGTTAAAACGAACAACTTTAATCAGACCAGAGGAACTGTGAGTAACATTAATCTTACAAGGAAGGATGCAGTTGAATAGCTGATAATTTATTTTTTCCAACAAGTATTGAAAAGGCAGTCTCGTTCAACTTGTACATAAAATTATTTCAATTGCTCCAACCTCTACCCAGAATCCAAATTTTTGTTTGAAACATACATTGAAGTAAACCTGTAATAGTTGCATACGAAGGAAAGCAATTGCAGCCACATCTTATGATAGGGTACATTTGATATTTAATAAATGCCAACCTATGATTTGCCTAGATATACATTGTCAACTAAGAGAGCTTTGTAGAGGCTAGATCGAGTTGAGAGAAATTATTTATTGTCAAAACATATTATCTTGTACAATCATTTTCATCTTTTTTGCTGATCAGTGAAGAAATTACTCATCATCTCCTTCGCTTGCCATATAGCGTCTAAAATTGAGACTTGAATGGTTAACTCTAAACCGGATAGAGTTTTCTCTATTATGTCTATATAACAATGAATAACTAGAAGCAGGTTCTAGGCTTATAGGCCTTCAGTAAACCATCCCCCCTTCATGCTCTCTGCCATGATCATCATGAATAGCTCCATACCTCTTGCTTTTATATTAGCAGACAAACTTATGTGCTAATTTCTAGATCAAGCTATTTCTTTTTGAAACAAACTCACTTGCCTCGCCTTAATCATATAACCTTAGTTTGTCTGTAATTAAGAACATCATTACATAGGGCTCTGTCATTGGGGAACCTTATCAGTTAGTGGAATATGGGGTATAGCAGAGGAAACAAGAACTATCTGTGGTCCTTGACTTAACAATATTGGCCTACTGACGGTGATTATTGGCTGTTGTCCTCAAAATGCCAAGCACAATAAGGTGAAGCTATCTAAAAACTCCCCCAGGCCCCTGCCCCCCTTTTCCCCCTATCTGTTTATCCTTTGGAAGGTGTTCCTGCAATGTTGGCCTTTCACCTGAACTAGGCATTTTTAGTGATGCATTTGCCAAGAGAACATGTTGTGTATAAGCTAGAAATTAATGGTGTGTGTAAGCTGAAGAACTAGTGATTTATCATTTGGTTTCCATCTCAAATATACAACTTCAATTATTTAGCAGTGAGATAACTCCGAAGGTACAGTAATTGAACTTTTTAAATTATAGTAGCAGGAGAACGATCTGGAACTTTGATCATAATAGTTAGTCCTCTATTTTAAAGTCTCCTATGGTACCAGTCTGACTTCAGCTTCAAATAAACAAGGGCTTGATGTTGCCACAGTTATGTAGCTGCATTCACTTATATATACTAACTAGATTTGCACATGGACTTGTCAAACAAGTGTCAAAGAATTCAAAGAAGAAATAAACTACATTAAAAGCCTAATGGGAAGAGAACCCTTAAAAAAAAGCAAAGAAAAGATCCCCATATAGAACAAGTCCAGATAACAAAAGTATTTTTTTTTTTAATAAGCCATATATTTATTAATGTAACTGATTACGCGCCTTATATACAACAAACAGCATAAGTTCTTTGACCTATATTAAAACAACAACCAGCAATAAAATTTAACCAGCCTAGGCCCTCCTTATCCCCCTAATACATACAGCTATTAGCGAAACTCAACCAAACTGACCCCAACCGCTTCATCATTCATATAACTTATAAGCGTACTGCATCGCAGCTTTTAGCTCAGTCAACATCCCTCTCTTTGTTCCTTTCCCAAATCCTATCCATGCCACAAAACAACCTCTCTCTCCTTATACCACTTTTACCAGCAAAATCAGAACTAACATTGGCCTCTTTATAAATATTATACAACACGAAAGTGCCTATTGCCTCCTTCAAAATGTCAACATAATGGAATAGTTTCCAGCATTTCCGTGGTGGAATGGAGGGGTTCACCACCGGGCTGACAGTTATTTCCACTATATTGTTAATAACTGATTTTCTCTTCACATCACAAGGGAGCCCCTGAATGTTTTAGGACAGAATTTAAATGATAAACCACAGGCAAAATCCCTGGGTTTCACCCTTTCCTAACCTCTAACCGAAGAACAACTAATACTGCCCAAGAATAATACTCCTCATTCCCTTTGCCTTCACTACTGCCCAGATTACAGAAGATGTTCAGGGAATAATGAACCACTTTGGCTTGTTAAAGCCGACTGATACGAAGTGCATTGACAAAAAAAAAATGAAAAGAAAAGAAACGTTTTAAGTGAAATCCAATTTCTTTTAATTTTTAGACAATTATTGTGAGGAGGGACACATGTATATAGCAGTGCATAGGAAGAGAATCCATATATTTTAATTATCGATATAAGAATTATATTGGTTAGTTTCATGATCTCTCCGTTTATAGTTTTAGAGATGCTCAGAAGGTAGATTTATATAAAACCTATAAGTGATAATTCTTTTTTTCTGCATTTCTTTTCCGATTTCCAGAAAAAGAAGGTGGTCATTTCTCTTTAATCCAGTACTTCTTCAAACTTCTTCTCTTTATCCAAATTCAAAATTAACTTAGCGAACTACTCTCCCAAACCGTTCACTTGTTAGCTAGGAAAAGAAAACTAGCAGCAAGAACGTCAAGTAACTGCTTAATTCAAGCGATAATTCACTTGGACATCTGGACACATGAAACACAAATAAAAACCAGGCATCAAAAAGAAAACAAAAGAGAAAATTGAATAATCTTAGTAGAGAATTTCCACATGAAAGGTGCTTCCATACCTTTGATATGAAAACTTATGGAGAAGAATTAATCTGATGTTGCTTGTATCTTATTCTTGCCATGTCATTGTTGAAAATCTGTATATAGATAGAGGGATATAAGCCTCAAAAATAAGAGAAAAACAATGGAATCAACTCAAATATATGTTAATACAAAAAAAATGTAAAAAATGCAGATCTACCCTAGCTTTTGGTCTCAGATCGAGTAAACTGCTAAGAAACAAAGCAATCAGCCTCCACCCATAGCAAGTTAATTCCTTATTGCTCAGGTGTAGGTTACGGTTTCTTTAAGAAAAAAAATTAGAAAGAGAGAGATATCAACATGCTTTCATTGTGATCTAAGGGGATTGACTTGTGGTCTTAGGCGATCCGGTTTGTTTGATTTATAAAAAATGATGAAGAAGTAAGCTACCTAAAAGCCTAAAAACATGCTTTTCATTTTGCTTTCAGTAAAATGTACAAAAAGTAAATGAAGAATAAGTCCATAGTTTCGAGCTCTTGTTCGCTGGAGATGGGAAAGATCAACTATATAAAGGAAGAGACTATTATTCAGGCTAACTTGGTGAACTAGTTATTGGTCTCTCATCCATATATCTGGGAGATGACTAGATCAGTTATATGACTACAACTTATAACGTTAGGGTGCAAATCTAGTAAGTTCTTGCAATTTAAAAACACTACTTCCACATAATTTTAGTATTTTGAGTGAGAGAGGGAGGATTAAATCCACTTTTAAGTTTTGCAATTTTAAAGCACCACTAGATATCTTGCTATGCTAGGCTTATCAGTTTGGTGATAACATATATAAGCCTAGAAAATGGAAGTACCTGATAAAAAAGGTGGCCTTTTACATTCAAAGTTTTAGGTTAAACAAACAACTCTCCAGCCCTCTGAAAAACAAGCAAAACCAATATAGAAAAGATGATCTTGACTGAAGATGGAGGGGAGTTTATCGGAGGATGATGGCGCCTACCAGCTTCGTACAACTTACAAGCACTATACAATATGCACTAGCTAGGCGCTATCTCTCCTCCGACAGACTCCACTATAACTTCACTGCTGTCAGAATTTTCTATGAGCAACTCATCGTTTCTGTTCTCGCTTAGACTTTTAGTGCCTGTAAGAATTAAGAACAGAGCTAGTTAATTTCTGGGTAAAATGCATTTGTTTGCAAGAGGGAGATGAGAGAAAGAGTAGGGTTTGGAAGGGAGGGTAGATTGTTTAATGTTGAAAGTTGAAAGTTGAACACATGTAGACTAAGAACTCTAAAGTTGTCGACTTGTCATGAAGGAATTTTTGCTATTGTATTTGAAACTTGGCACCCTCTCTTTAAGTCCAAGTTATTCTTTTCCCAAAGAACAAACGAAATTTCAAATTCAATAAAGCTGAAACATGATTGATAAAGAAATCAGGAAATGTACTTTTTTACTAGCCGCAGCCTATAGATTAACGAGATCAATCGCACTTAACAAGAACCTCAGACGATCAAGAGACTGACTACAACTTTTTGTGATGCTTTTCGTGAATTGAGTTACTGTTCTGGGTCCATTTCATAATTGTTAATCATATATTTTTCTTTTTGCTTGCTTATGGTTTTGTCTTTTTTTCTTTTTTCTCTTCAAAGAGAAAAAAAAAAGCATGTCAATAGTGCAAAACAGATCGTAGTAATAAGTTAGGAAGAAGATGAATCTGGCCTGTTTTGAATTTCTGCCCCCTTTTCTAAAGGGTGTGTACAACATGACCTTTATTGTTTTACAACCATGTGTCACGTGGTTCAAAAGTATATTGCCTTTGGTTGAACACTACACTTTTGATGTTTGAATGACTCAAAGATTCTACATGTGAAGATAATCATATACATGTCTATCAACACATAGAGCAATCTTGCTCTCATTTTAGGAGAGATGTCACTAACAAACAACCATAATAAGAAATGCTTTTGGTTTAATCGAAAGTGCATGTAATTTCAGTTCGGTCAAAATGATGGCGAAAGAAGTTCTTTAGTCCATTAAATCAATAGGAGCAGTTGATCATAAGGTATGCTGAAAATTAATAGAATGACAGTTAATCTCCTTTCTTTTATTATTATTATGATTAAATATTGTGTGGATACAACACCTAATATTTATCAACTACTCAAGAACAACAGTAACTGTAACATAATTGGATATGTATAGAAAACATGTATAAATGAATGTGCAGAAAGTTACGTACTAAAGTTTCTGTCTTCCTAAGTATACAAATTATTCTCTTTTTGATTTTATAGAAAGCAACAAAGAAAATTTTCCCTACAATTTATTGTCCCAAATTAACATTTATTATTATTATTATTATATACTTATAGATAAAAATGGGAAACTAAATTTGGACCACATGGAGAACAGAGGTAACTCAGTGATAAGAAAAACAACATACGGCAGAGGTTTCTTAATTTTTGTTTTTTTTCTTTCCACCACTTGAACCAACCCTTTTCGGTTAGAAAGAAACTAGGCAAAAATTCATTATCACAAGAAAAATTGACATGACATTAGCTCGTCAATGCCAATGAATCTGTCCAGTTGATGAAACTCTAGCAGGACCATCTATGGAGAAGGTACAAAACAGCAAACAAAATGAATAGCATTATCCCCCACAACAACATTTGGTGGGGCCACGGGCTAACAAGCATGAAAAAGACTATATTAAGTTAAAGAGTCATAAAATTTTGGGGAAGTTGGAACCATAAGCTTATAATAACAAAAGACATAAGTTCTCACCTTTAAGGAGTACGGAACAATATATACATATAAACATAGATGGGGTTTTCTTGGATGTGATTTTTGTGGTTAGGACAGAATTTATTTAGCCAAGAAAATCATCTTAACACGTTTTTTTTTTCTCAATCAAGGTGTATTTATTTATAAAAGTTCATTACAGACCTTAATCCACTATAATAAAAACAGTTATGGACATTGAAACGGAAACGCCTTAAACAAGAGATGAAACGCCTACCAGCACCAAAAACTCAAAACTCCTCGCCAACAAACGCATTAAGCACAAAACTAAGAGGTGTAACGCTCAAAAACAAAAGGACCCCAACCCTGGAGAGCACCATAGGAAGCAAAACAGAATAAAGTTGGGTTGAAGCACAACTCAAGGCCCCAATACCCTAAGCAGCAAACAGCCCAACGATATTAACATGTTATTTTCGCAAGTTAAGGGAAAATAATTGAGTTTAATTTTCAATATACATAAATAATAACACTAAAACGCACATGATGCAAAGCGAAATATTAAAACATGAAACCAAAAATATATCGAAGTGAGTGCTTAAACCGGAATCCAAGGTTAAGATCTCCATAAACAGAAATGTCTAAAAATTTGTAAAACAAAGGTTAAGGACATTAAGTTTGGATAGAGTCGATGTCGGCTGACCAAAAACAAAAGGGCGGTCCCGGCTAGGTTTTCAATCATGAGACTAGCCATGAGCCAATAAGATAGTGACAGATTTGTTGTGTATACATTTTGTATGGAAAAATAATTGCAGTGGAACTTTAATGCAAGATGATGATGCTAGTGCCACCTCATCGATTGATGTCATTGATCAGATGCACTACCATCAAGTTAATGTTTCGCTATCGTACTGCGCTGAATTTAATTATTTTCTTTACCCTGAAACCCAAGGAAATTTTTTTTTTTCTGAAAATTAACGCAAGGAAAATTGTTAACTGTGTTAATTATTTTTTCTTCTTGAATTTGTAGATTGTTATATCAAAATCTCAGATTTAGATCGGAAATTCCAACTTTATTAATGTCAACGAGTTGCTTAACTGAGATATAAACATAGCCTGTCGGAAGGTTATGCCATCACCACGTATAACAAGAAAGGGAAAGGAGCTGAATCTCTAGCAGGACATTAATGCAAATAAATGAAGTAGCTTTCAAATGTAGGCGTACCTGTGAAGAATCAGGGAAAACATGAGGAAGAAGATGAAGCAGATGAGCAAAGAAAGTGCAGGGTTTCTTGTCACAAGGCGACGGCACTTTGCGTCGTGGCTTTGCCTTTCCATGGGAAACTAGAAAGCAGCCACATACAACAGCCAGTGCCATCGCTCCTGCGACAAGACTCCCCGACCCCTTTTAGCTTTTATCCTTGGCTTAGCTTTTCTGCATATTCTCAATAGTTTCCGTGCTTCGCACTCTCCTTTGTATTTATAGGCCTTGGGTGGAGTCTAAGGGAATGTTCTCTGTCGGTCTTTTGAAGAGGGTTTATTTAATTGCCATGCCAATGCATGGAAATTGCGTTTGCTAGCAAAGGAAGCAAGGGAGAAAAGTCTCCAAAGACTTTGTTATTCACATGCGTTCAACAAAGTTGAATGTCTCATTCGGCATATGGAAGAAGCTCACCAGACTTATAAAATTCCTTCCCCCTCCCTTTTTCTTTTTTAATTCTAGAGAATGACGAAACAAGATCAAGGACAAAAAAATGTAATGGAAGGAAGTTTGATCCCATTAGTAGATCACCTTTCTTTTGTTTACTTAATTATTATATATAATCATTATCATTTTTTTAAATGACTATACATCTCACTTTTTTACCGATTTATATAGTTTATCTTACTTCATTATTCTAACCTATTAAAATATTACTTAGCATTTCAATCTTAAAGTAATATATTACTGACAAGTTCGGCTCGCTAAATAAAATATAATGAGAATAGAATATTATAAGACATGTATAGTTATTATCTTATTTAGTTCATGAAATAGAATTTGACATTTTGACATATTCTGATATTTGATTAGGGACAATAATTTTAGAATAACCGAGGAATAGGTAATAAAAAGATAAAAATACTTTTTATTATAATTATGTTTTTTAAATATAAAATATTAATTTTTTTGATAATTTATAAATCATTAATAATTTTTACTTAAACCTTCAATTTAATTATTTTATTTTATTTTTCTCTATTTTTATTTTATAAATATTAAAAATTTATAATTTATTTAAAGTATTAATAATTACTAATTAAAACTTTAATTTGAAATAATAACTTTTTTAATTTATTTAAAATATTAATCATTTTTAATAACAATTTATTAAAAATTTATAATAAATTTATTAATAATTTTTAAATTTTTTTTTTTAAAAGCTCTACTTCATTGATAAAAGCTTAAGGGTTGAAGGAGCTAAATCAACAAGAGCTCTTCACCCACGCACGCAAAAGAAGCAAGAGTAAGGACCAGCAAGCAAACACAAGTTCAACCAAAAACCAACCTCTGTGCAATCATTCCCCACTACCAAAAAAAGTTTAATAAAACCAACCCTTGTACAATCATTTCCCTTGTAACGACCCTTTTCCCCGATTGTTACCGGTGCTCGAGTCTCACAAGCAAGCTCGTCAAGTCCCGAGCAAGCCTCCACAATTATCCATTTAATAAACCATAACATGTCTCGAAAATCTTATAACCATCACAATTTCATTTAATGGCAAACATTCTTTCAATACATTATATTTTATCATTATATAAATATATGTTTACATTTTTCAATAAATGGCAAGTTCCTAAAATCTCTTAACAACATAAGGACCTCTAGCAGTGGACCGACTCGGAATAGAGTACTAGGAGATGCCCTTACCTACATCGCAAAGGACCATACTATGTCGATGAAAAGCGTGTTAGCTAATCACTTCTCTACAAATGAGAATATTAGGATGAGGCTCACAAACTCAGTGATCATTGACTCAATGAGCAGGGCAAAGATGGAAAAGAAGCCAAGGATAGAAAATTTGAATAATAAAAGCATATGAATATATAAACCATTTAAAATCAAATGGGACATTTGTGCCTTACATATATGCCAAAGAATTGTGATGCAAAGTAACCATTTCAGGTACGATATTAAAACCAGTGCAATTAAAAAATTTCTACCATCAAAATCATTTGATGTCCTTTACTCAAAATTAGACTAACATAAACACGCACGCTCTTGTAAAATCAAGCAATTTCAATGCTTATACATAAGCATATAAACAAACTCATACTCGAGGTATTAAACACAAAACCATTATATAAATAAGGGAGCTGTAGAAAAGCAGGCATTTCTCACCATGTTGAAGAATACGTATTTGAAAACCTTAAGAGATATCACTCTTGAGTAGGTAAGCAAATATAATTATCCCGTAGATCCTCTTCCATGTAATAACATCTGAGAGGCCCCCCTCCATCAGATTCCCATAGTCATGGCAGCCTCGACAATGTTGGTCAACACCAGAGAAATCATGTGGCCGCAACCACATATTTCAACTTGTAGCCTAGCCATACATATCAACCTGTGGCCTTGCCATGTATATATCACAAATTGTGGTCTAGCCATATCTAACAACCAGTCGGTGACCCAAACATTCTCTAGCTAGAGCTCACTTGTGCACAAGGGTCATATTATTTTGATTTGACATTTGATCTATTCTCGAATTTCCCAATTTGACAAAATCATTTATAACCAAATTGAGCTTTCAAAAGCTTATTTTAAATCCACTTCCAAAATACAAATCACGACAATGTTATAAATCCGTTTGTAAGAATTCAGGATGTAAAACTTTTGCGTGAGGTTTAAATATTAAATCAAAGCATGGTGAACATAAAGCTTATTCATGAATGCATGTCACAAAAACATGTAAGGCACGTTTTGGCATAACCATGGTAAAGAGCTTGTTCCCCTATTTCTAAAACCTTTTACATATATACCTTATATATTATATATAAAGTTACTTCAAAAATCATGTCATTCCCAATCGCCTATCATCTCTACCAGCTTATGCTTTCCACAATAATAGTGTACAAATCCTTTCACAAATAGGTATTTAAACCATTTATCATTTTCTAGCAACTCATGCTTTTCACAATGACATTGAATAAATCATTGACAAGTTACTATACATATAACATTATATAGTATAGAATCTTTTAAAATAGAGACCTCCTATTCACCTTTCTTGGTGAGATATTATTTCACCAAATTAAACTCTTTGCATTCTTAATCGATCAATATCACTCGCTGTTTAACCGTTATCCTTCTGGATTTACATGCACGGCAACAATTCTTTACTTGTTAATTTCCTGGTAGCAATTAAATCTAAAATACTTAGCAACTTTACAATTTATCCTATCCCACACTTGCTACCCACACTTAGCTTTATGCTTTTATAGCCTATTCTTTATTCCCCCTTCTCATTCAAGTACTACTCATTAAGTAAATAGTTCAATTCATGCTATAATTAGCATTCCTTCACAATTAATCTTTTACACACACACCCACACACACATATTTATAGGCAGCAACTTTACCAAAGAATTATGAAGTCTTTACATGCATAATTTTCTATCCTTTACTTTCTTCAAAACATTACATGCACACAACATCAAAACTCATAACTAATATAAGCATTCTTATTAACCCATAATCATATAGAATAAACAATCAAGGAATAAGCCTCAATTTATCTTACCTTTCTCAATAATTTAACTGAGCTAAAACCAAGAAATCTCAAGCTCCTTGGTATCTTAATCTTACATTCCTTGAGAATCACCAACATGCATGGGTCTCTTGGCACCCATATGTTCTTTTTGCTGCTACAAACATTTTCACACAATCACAATTCAATTCGTTAAGAAATTCATAGATCAAACTTAAACTTTACTTACCTAAACTTTCCTTGAACCCGTGAATCACTCACACTTTCTTCCTTGTGGTTTCTAGCCTTTTTCCTTGATATTTCTTAGCTACCATGAGATCTAACCCATATCTTGTAACAAAGGATGAATTTTTAGAAGTAATGAAGCTTTGTGGCAAGAGGATAATGTGAAATAGGCTCACGGGTGAACTAAAATCCTGCAAAACTGAGCCCTCACTTATTTTTCCTTTTCTCTCTACTTTTTCTCTCTTTTCAGGTGGAAGCCTCACAAAGCTATTTTCTCTTCATTTCTCTTCCAAATGGGGCGGATCTCTCAAGGTAAAAGTCTTGAAATGGCTTTCATTTCCCATTTTCTCATCCATGGGTAGATTGCCCAAGGTCACTTCCTTTTTCTTTTTTTTCTTTATCACATGCCATGCCATGGAAATCCCCTTTACCAATACCCTTGCCATCCCATGAGCCAATAAGGCTTCATGCATTTTTCCACTCTTGAATCCTATTTGGCCTCCCTCAAAACTAATAGGATTTCATGCAACCAAATTATTCTTTCTTTTTCTTTTATGTGGGTAGATATCACAAGGCAAAAAGCCTTGAAATGATATTTTTCCACTTGTATGGGCGGATTCTCCCAAGTTCCTCCATCAACTCAAATTTCTTTATTTTATATTATTTCCATCAAATGTTATGTTTATTCCTTTTTCTTTTCAAGTTACTTTACCAATCTTCTTTGGCTACCATGGGCTATCTTTGTCAAACCATGGTTTTCTTTCTATTAAATACTCTTTGTTCTTTTTCTCTTTGTCATCTTTCTCATAGGGGTCCCATATGTCTCCTGCTAAGTTTTATCTTTTTTACATGCAATCTTTACATGGAATAGTAACTTCACATGCAAATTCCATCATGCTGTACAATCTTACTTGTTTTTCATTTTACTTGCATCCTACTTAAATTTTATCTTGCTTTCCAAAATAAAAATATATATACATCAAATATTGACTTAGCTTAAAATAGAGAAATTGCATATAAGTTCTTTAATTTTTCTTATTTACCATTTGATCCTCCAAACTTTTCATTTGTCATTTGACAATCTTTATTATAATTATAATTCTAATATTCTGCCATATCCCTTTTGTTTGGCATTTGTAATGTAAGATTTTGGTTTACGCATTATATCGACTTCCAATCTTTATAGAAAACTCAACAATGTCATAATACATACAATTATGTGTACTACACTTATTGAATCAAAACAATATTATTCTTCATCTTATAAAGAGAATTCAAATGTCATTAATTCTAGTTACACCTTAATCAAATGAACCTTAAATCATCAATCATCCATATTTACATAACCACCCACAACTCCTCTACCTTGATCTTTTATCAA